CCCCTCCCCTCCCCCTCCACTTCCCGCCCCGCCCCACCGGCCCTCGTGCTTAGCGACTGCGTCGTGGTGGTGCCAATCACCTATCACCCGCGGCGTGCCCGGGGTTCGGCGCGCGCGCACATAGCCCGGCGCCAGGCGCCATGCCACTCGATCGCGAGTCGCGACGCGAGCCTATAGCCGCGGAGGGGAGGGGGAGGCACTCGGCGGTTACCAGTGCTATCATGGACGGTGCTTGGGATGCACACGTACTGTACCTGCGTCCGCAGCACCCCCTTCGTCCGGATCCACACTTTGATCTCGGCGTCCTTCTCGGCCGACAGCCTGGCGGCCAAGTCGGCCTTCTTGAGCAGCTCCATCGAGGTGGCATGGTCCTCGGCCAGGAACTGGTCGAACAGGTCGACGTACTGCTTCTGCTGGCCGAGTATCTGGTCCAGCCGCTCGCGCTCCAGCCGGAACTGCTCGTCCACCAGGATGCTCTCGTCCTCGTTGTAGCCGATCTTCAGGCGGACGCGCACCAGGTCTCGGATGTGGCTGATGTACTCCCGCACGCTGACGCGATCGCGGTTCGGCCGCCCCTCTACGATGGTGTAGAACTCGGGGTCCATGTCCACCATCGTCTTTTCCGCTGGGGGAGGCTCGTCGGGGATGTGCAGGCGGCGGAGGAGGTCGGCAGTTAGCCTGGTGCGCGCATTTGGCTGTGCAGAGAAGGACAATGAGAGTAAAGTTAAGTTTCAACGACGCCCCCCCCCCCACGGGCAGACACCGACCACAAACTCCCCATACTTCTGACTGCCTACCTTCTTGTGCACGGGGAGTGCCAACTCCTTCCTTCGCTCCAAGGCCGTCTGCTCCTTCTGGAAGGCGACGAACGGGGCGAAGTGCTCGTCCGGTGGCACCCAGAAGGGCTTGTCCTTCTGCTTTCCCTTCTTCTCATTCTTTCTGCTTCCTTCCTCCGCGGCCTCCGACTCCTGCTCGCCCACCCCTTCCGCCTTCTCTTCTTCCTCGGGGATCTGGCGCCCACTCGTGACATAGTACACGGACCGCTTTTGGTTCCTGGACGGGCAGCGTAAGTGCGTGAGGATCTGCCCGACGACGACCGCCGCCGTACTGCGCCGTATGCGAGGCGGTATGGCCGCGAGATACGCACCTCTGCTTGAAGATCTTCTGGAGCACGGTGGGGGCGTGCACGCGCGGCCGCAGGTCCAGGCGGGGGCCCTCCAGGCGCCGCTTGAACCGCAGGCGCCGCAGGTACTGGCGCACCTCCGGTTCCGTCGCCATGCTGAAGTCCCTGAAGGTGGCCGCCGCCGTCAGCACGGCGTCAGCGCGGCGTCAGTCGGCATACACGTGCCTGCACGCTCAGCATTGTTGCCCGACTGACTTGCGGGGGCTACCGTGCGGCCCCCGCTGCCCCAGGCGCCCCCGGCGCCCCCGGCCCGGGGCGCCACCCCCTCCGGTGGCCTGGCATGGGGGCGTCGCACCCCTCGGGGGCGCCAGCACCACGGAGCCGGCGGCGTGCGGCCCGCGTCACCCGCGGCACGGCACGGCCCCGCTGGGAGCCGCATAACCATAGTAACGCTCCTGTACACAGCGAAAATCATTCTAGAGGACCACACGTTCTAGCACCGCATGTCGGGCAGTGACGGTGTCCACATGAATGACAGTGTCAATGTGGGTGACTGATGACCAGAGCGACCCCGTGCCGGGCCCCTCCCCCCTTACACTTCCACAGTTCCACCATCATGAGCAGTGGTGCCTTACACCTAGCTAAGCTAGACTAGCTAACACGATGGCTTCCCAGCCGTCGGCAAGCTGGTTCCTTCCTCTCGCCCTTTCACGACTTTAGGTGCTCATTGGGCCGTCCGCGGGGCCTCCGCGCTCCGCGCCCCTCCGCCCGCCCCAACCGGCTAGTCCGGCGGGCGCGGCTCGCCGCGGCCCGGTCGCGGTCGTCGCGGAGGGCGCGGAGCGGCGGTGCCATCCTCCCGGCGGCGGCGCGCCGTGTACAGCCAGCCCCTCCCGTCCTTCCTCAACAAGCATCGGTGGTTCAGTGGTAGAATGCTCGCCTGCCACGCGGGCGGCCCGGGTTCGATTCCCGGCCGATGCAATCATTTTCTTGGCGGAGAGTTTGATTGGGAAGGTGCTTCGTTTCCCACCAAATCCCCCAAGATCCCGATGTGAGTCTGTGACTTTTGTCCTGTCCGCGAATTTCACATGTATCATGATGCATGATTAAATTGATCACAAATTAAGACCAGGAAACCCAAAACACCATCCCCCAAGTGGTGATGTTGCACCATTACCAGGCCTCGCCACAGCAGCGCCCCTGCAGCGCTCCAACCCCCTCCCCCTACTGCCCCCACTCACCACTCCCGGCCCCTCCCTATGCGGAGCGCCCCCGTGACGAACGTACCAGGCACGGTAAGGAAAGGGGGGGGGGGGGCAAAATCCACCCCCTTCACTCGCTATTGCAAAATATGTCATAAAATAAAATTAAAGTAGTGGATTTTTTCGATGTGTAATCAGCTGCGGGAAGGAGCAGCGAGTCGCGTCTGCCATCCTGCCTTTGTTTTTGATCCGTGAGGCACGAGGGGGTGTCTAGAAGGGTTGTGGGAACGGGGTGGGGTGGGGAGGGGAAGGGGGCAGGCAAAACCCTAGCATCGGCCGCGCGCGTCCCCCGGGGTGGGCCCCAGTCCTCGTTCCAGTCCCAGTTCGCCAGCCCGCCCCCGGGACGCGGACGTCGCAGATGATGCCAGGTGCCCGAACGGTGACGCGACTATGGGGCAAGTCCTGGGCTGCTGCAAGCCTATCGCTGCCAATGACGGCTCGGTGCTGGACCGCGTTATTTCACAGGTTTTGTCTCTATTTGTGTCTTTTTCGAAGTGCACTTTTAACTTGCTCCGGGGGTGGCGCGTGGGCTCGATCTCATTGGCTACTGCTGCTCCGCAGGCGTCGAACGAGGACGACTGCCTGCTGTACCGCCTCGCCAACTACAAGATGGGCGGCGAGTTGATCGACGCCTACAACGTGGGCGGGCAGGTGGAGGTGGAGAAGCTGATCCGGGAGCAGTTCGGCGTGCTCATGTACTGCGACGGCAAGGGGCAGATCATCAACAGGGCCGAGTACCTCCGCTGGAAGTTCCGGGATCTCAAGCAGGTGGTGCTCTACTTGCCCTCCCTCCCTAGTTATTCCGCTCCCTCTGTAACTGCTATGCTCTCTCCCCAGGTGGTGCTGCCCATCGAGGCCTCGCTCAGCCCCCACGACCCCCTCGCCAAGTGGGAGGACCACGAGGCGTGCTGGCAGATGCAGTACCGCGGATCACTCGGTAAGCCCCAGCTGCACGGCCCCAGCTGCTCGTGAAGGATACGTGCTAGAAGTGTTGGTCTCTAGGCACAGGCGGTCTCACTAGCTCTGCCCTCCAGGCGAGACGCTCCTCCACGTCCTCATCATCTGCGACACCAAGCTGCACACCAAGCTGGCGCGCACGCTCATCAAGTGCTTCCCCAAGCTGGCCCTGGACGTGGTGGAGGGCGAGGAGTACCTGGGCGCCAGCGGGCTGCACCTGGCCATCGCCTACGCCAACAACGAGCTGGTGCAGGACCTGGTGGACGCGGGCGCCAACGTGATGCAGCGCGCCATCGGTAGCTTCTTCCTGCCGCGCGACCAGCAGCTCGCCCGGCCCAAGAAGTACACTGACTACGAGGGCCTCGCCTACCTCGGTGAGTTCCCCCTGGCGTGGGCGGCGTGCTGCGCCAACGAGAGCGTCTACAACCTGCTCTGCGACACCGGCGCCAACCCCGACGCGCAGGACTCGTTCGGCAACATGATCCTGCACATGGTGGTCGTCTGCGACAAGCTGGACATGTTCGGCTACGCGCTCAGGCACCCGCGCCTGCCGGCCAAGAACGGCATCGTCAACAAGGCCGGGCTGACGCCGCTCACGCTCGCCTGCAAGCTGGGCCGCGCCGAGGTGTTCCGGGAGATGTTGGAGCTGAGCTGCCGCGAGTTCTGGCGCTACTCCAACATCACCTGCTCGGCCTACCCCCTCAACGCCCTCGACACCCTTCTCCCGGATGGCCGCACGAGTGAGTGCAACCAGCCCGACGGCGCGCTTCAACTTCAAACGGGGCTATTACGGCGGAGTGCAAGTACGCCTCGATGTTGCAGATTGGAACTCGGCACTGTTCATCATCCTGAACGGGACCAAAGAGGAGCACTTGGACATGCTGGACGGCGGCATCATCCAGCGGCTCCTGGAGGAAAAATGGAAAACGTTCGCGAGGGTAAGTACCAGCCACGAACACGAACTTCGAGACAATGATGGCGTAATAGGTGTGCGAGGTTTCGACTTGGGCTGTTTTCTTCGCTCTACACAGCAACAGTTTCTGAAGCGCCTGGGCATCCTGTCGCTGCACCTGCTCACCCTGAGCATGGCCGTGTACCTGCGGCCCGAGCGCGGCGAGCAGGAGGACGACGACTGGAACGCACGGTCCATCCTGAGGGCGGGCTTCGAGGTGGGCACGCTGTGCAACATCCTCAGCTACCTGATCGTCCAGCAGGGCGGCGAGATCAAGAACCAGGGCCTGCCGTCGTTTCTCAAGGGGCTGGTAGGCTACGGGTGCTACGGGGAGGGCTTCACGACGTCAGAGTCTCTCGTCGGCGTCCTCTCCAGCGGCTCTTTCTTTTCCAGGGCAACGCCCCCGCCAAGGCCATCTTCCTCGTGTCCAATCTCCTGATCCTGCTCTCCATACCGTTCAGGTTTAACGGGGACCGCGTGACAGAGGAGGCCATCCTGGTGTTCGCGGTGCCGGGATCCTGGTTCCTGCTTATGTTCTTCGCCGGGTAAGAATACGGTGTGTGTGACAGCGCAGCTGCAGGAGGGTGTTAACGGTTCTCACGCTCGGCCACCCCCATTCACGTTGCAGGGCGGTGCGACTCACGGGGCCTTTCGTCACCATGGTGTACTCGATGATCACTGGCGACATGCTCACCTTCGGCATCATCTACACCGTCGTCCTGTTCGGCTTCTCGCAGTCTTTCTACTTCCTGTACAAGGGCTTTCCAGGCGTCAAGAACTCGCTCTACGCGACGTACCCCGCCACCTGGATGGCCCTCTTCCAGATCACCCTGGGCGATTACAACGTGAGTTAGTGCGATTCAGCGTAACTCTGCACGTGTCTTCCTACAAAATGCACATTTTATAAATTTTAAAATCAATCTCGCCCCGTACTTACAGTACCCCGACCTGGGCAACACGACGTACCCCTCGCTCAGCAAGACGGTGTTCACCATATTCATGGTGTTGGTGCCCATCCTCCTGCTCAACATGTTGATCGCCATGATGGGCAACACTTACGCGCACGTCATCGAGCAGAGCGAGAAGGAGTGGATGAAGCAGTGGGCCAAGATCGTCGTCAACCTGGAGCGGGCCGTGAACCAGCAGGACGCGCACCACTACCTGCAGGAGTACTCGATGAGCCTCGGGCCCAGCGACGACCCGGCCCAGGAGCAGCGCGGCGTCCTCGTCATCAAGAGCAAGTCCAAGACCAGGGCCAAGCAGCGCAAGGGAGCCGTCTGCAACTGGAAGGTCGGTCGTCTCGCAAGGGAAGCCCGCGGGGCGGGCGGCAGCGGCAGGTAGGTACAAAATCTTTGAGTTGCTTCTCTCTCGCAGAGGGTGGGCAAGGTGACCGTCGCCGAGCTGCGGAAGCGCGGCATGACGGGCGAACAGCTCCGCAGGATCATGTGGGGGCGCGCGTCCATATCCACCCCCGTCAAGAAGAAGAAGATCAAGACCGGCTACGACCTCACGTGAGTGCGCCGCGCGTTAGAACGCGTCAGCCGTCCGTGTAGGAAATTTCTGAAGTGTTACTTTTCCAGGGCGCTGGTGGCCGACCCGTACGCCATCGCCGACACCGTTCCTTTGGACACGACGACCGTTGCCCCTGCGACAGCCGCGCCTCCCGCGCAGCCGGGCCAGGGCTTCGGCGCCTTCACCGCGGCCATGGACATTTTAGCGTTCGCGGACGACATCGCCGTGCCCCAGGCTGGCGCTAACGCGGTGGCAGCGACAGGGCTCGGCCCGGGCGTGCAGCCGGCCAAGCCTGGCGTGGTCATGAACGGAGTGCCGCCACAGATGAACCCCCCGCCATCCCTGGGGCCGGCCGTGGGCGCGGCGGGGATCCTGACCCCGGGGATCGTGCCCACGACGCCTCCGCCGCCGTACCCGGGACTCGCGACTCCATTCGCGCCCGCACCCCAAGCCGTCCCGACGCCCGCCGTCCCCGCCCCGGACGACCCGCTCCGCGAGCTGGTGCTCGTGGCCGAAGGCCCCCGCTGCAGCCCGGAGCAGCTGGCCGCGCTGGCGCGCAGAGCGGCGGACACCGACCACCTGGAGGAGGTGAGCCCGGAGGAGGTGGGCATCGCCATGAGCTTCGTGGAGCCGGGAGGGCCCGGCGCGGCCAGCGCGCTCCGAGACCGCAAGCGCTCCGTGACGCTCGACCCCAGCGACAGCGACGACTTCGGGGGTGAGTTTGCCAGAGCCCAGCGAGTACGGAGTAGGTCCAATGTGCCACGCCCAGCGCCCAGCTGACCTTCCCTGCCCTGCCGTGCACACAGAGGGGCCGCTTCTGGGCCGCGTTGCTCGTCTCCGGCGCGCCCGCTCCGCCGTCTCCCGCCCTGGCGTGGAGCGGGCGCGGCTGCACCTCGACGACGGCTACTCCTCGTCGACGGCGTCCTCGTTCGACGCGGGCCTGCTGAGCCCCTCTACGGCGATGGGCTTCATCATGCCACCCCTCGCTGCCTCCGCCCAGCAGCCGGCCGCCCCCGGGTTTGTGAGCCCCGCCGCCGCGCCACGGCCCCAGACTGCCCCGGCGGTCGCGCCCACGGCGGCGGCGTCCTCGGCAGCACCAACCGCGGCGTCAGCGACCACGCCCCAGCCCAAACAGCCAGCACCGGCCCAGCAAATGCCCGAGCCGGCGGCTAGCTCTACCAATGGGAATGGGAGAAAGCGACACAAACGGCCTAAAACGGCAAAGCCGAACAGGTAAGTGTTAGGTAAAGAGGATACTTTCCAAAGATGACAGACCCCACCGTCACTCTGTGTATCTGCGGCAGGGTGGCGCCCACTCCGGAGGCCCCTCCGCGCAGGGGAATGTCCGCGGGACCCACTTCCACCAACGGCCCTCCGAGCAGCGGCAGCGGGAGTGCAGACAGTCAGGATCCGCTGGAGCCCTGGAGTGTGAGGGGCATCGAGCCGATGAACGCACTGCTGGCCTGGGACCAAGATGAGCACGACAGCATGTGATGAGTCGTGAACTGAAGGACAGAAGATGTCAACTTCAACATAGAGAGCGAGAGAGGAACTGTAAATTTCTCATTGAAATTTATTTACAATTGTTTAACTAAATGCTCACAACAGTGTTTGTTGATAGATTATATATAGATCTTTCGTGGAAGAGGCACAGAAATTAGAATGCCATCATCGTCCCCGCAAACAGACAGGATTGGCAAACGAGAACATGAAAATTATCTTTTATCAACC